TTTTCCAAACATGTGACACTGTGCATCCCCCCCCCCCCCGCTCCATATAGCGTTATTTATATCATGTTTATAGAGTACCGCCTACCATATTTAAAAAAATTTCCCCTCCCCCATTCCTTACAAATCACTAGACAATTAGCGACTATAAAAACTGTAATAAAAAATCCCCCCCCCCCCCCTCCGTCACAAGAACCACGTTGCGAAAACAATAACGAAACATAAAAACAACAACATTAATAAAGATCAATACCACCACACTATTCAAGATAACATGACAATCCATCACTACCACCATTATGACACATATATTACCTATTACGTGCTTAATCCCTAATAACATACGGACAATTGTTTCATAAAATCTTGTGTATGCATGTTTCTTGAGTAGCAGCAATCATGTCTTGAATCTCTCCTGGAGTGTGTCTCCTACAGTCGAACACCGGTCTTGTGAGGAGTCCGCCGTGTTTCATATCACACAAAAATCGTTATACACGTACATGCGAGAGGAACAAAATAGCTTTTCAATTATCTCCCTTACCTCAAGTTATCGGCAATTAACTCCCCTGCCTAGCATTTCTAGGCATCGTAATGGTATGGGGGGTTCGATGTTTGAGGCGGCGATAACCCAACACACACACACACACGCACGCACACACACACACACACACAGGCACACACAGACACAAACACAGACACACACACACACGCGCGCGCGTACACACACACACACTCACACACACACGCGCGCGAGGGTGAGCATCGATCACGTGGGCATAGATTTCATCAGGGTGGAGACAGATGCACACGGGCGTCTTCTGCTGGAAGTGTTCGTGGCCGGTGCTGTGGGTTAGGATTCATGCACGTGCGACATTTTAGGTGTGGGGGGTGACGCCAGGTGAGTTTTTGGGGATTTTGTTGTTGTTGGGAAGTTTGTTGTTTCTTTCTTTCTTTGGATTTAATATACATATACTTATACATAAAAATATACACGCACACAAATAAACTCGCGCGCAAACACACATATGTATATACGTATATGGATATATATACATATATATATATATATAATATATATACATAATATATATATATATATATATATATATATATATATATATATATATATATATATATATATATATACACACACAAATGTGTGTTTGTATATAAAAGTAAAGCACCCTTTCGAGCCTGACAGTCCAAAGGGCAAGTGAAGTAGAGTTCGCCTGTTTCAGTGACATCGACATAAGAACGTATCTTGTGGTCTGCACTATGACTAGCCGTCTTTATTTTCAGAATCGGAGTCTTCTACTACTGACTTGAACACGGGATTGGAACACGACATTTTCGCGTTAGCAGTCGTATGCCCTACCCTCAGACCACGCCGTTCCCAGTAAGTTTGTGCGTATGTGTTAAGAAATGTAACCACCCCCTCACCCACCCCCCTCCCCCACCCCCCCCCTCCCAATATAAAAATCGAGTCGTCTGTATTTGCGTTGATAATTTAACTCCGGCTCCAGATATAATGCGCGTGCTATTGTGGATGAAGAGTGCTCTCATGGAATTGCCTCGATTGTTTTCTCCTGCAAACAACTTGACCTTCCACTGCTGCAAGGCTCCGTCCAAATGCCGAGTAATGCTAGCTCATCTGGCAAAGTGGAAATGAATTAGAGCCAATTAATTGCACTTGGCATTTCAAGATGTCGCTAATGTGAGAGTTTAATAAGCAGTTTCAACCAAACACGTCACGATTGTCTCCATTTGACAGAAATATTATTTTCCTGCTTGCAATTTGTTTTTCTTTTTGTTTTCGGTGTAATTTTTAGTAAAAAAACGTAAAGGCTTTTAAAGACGACACATTCGTGTTTGTTAAAATTGGCGCTAAATTATACGGAAGTTTTGGATGATGAAATTGAAGCCTAGGGGTGAAAATTATCCGGAAAACCTGTGTGTTTATCATCGACTGTTATTCATTATTTTTACTCGACTAGGGTTTCCGGAACCCAAAAGTTTTGGTGCCCTGAGTTGGGTTTCCGGAACCCAAACGTTTTGGTGCCCAGAGTTGGGTTTCCGGAACCCAAAAGTTTTGGTGCCCAGAGTTGGGTTTCCGGAACCCAAAAGTTTTGGTGCCCAGAGTTGGGTTTCCGGAACCAAAAAGTTCTGGTACCCAGAGTTGGGTTTCCGGAACCCAAAAGTTTTGGTGCCCTGAGTTGGGTTTCCGGAATCCAAAAGTTCTGGTACCCAGAGTTGGGTTTCCGGTACCCAAAAGTTTTGGTGCCCTGAGTTGGGTTTCCGGAACCCAAAAGTTTTGGTGCCCTGAGTTGGGTTTCCGGAACCCAAAAGTTTTGGTGCCCTGAGTTGGGTTTCCGGATCCCAAAAGTTTTGGTGCCCTGAGTTGGGTTTCCGGAACCCAAAAGTTTTGGTGCCCTGAGTTGTGTTTCCGGAACCCAAAAGTTTTGGTGCCCAGAGTTGGGTTTCCGGAACCCAAAAGTTCTGGTACCCAGAGTTGGGTTTCCGGAACCCAAAAGTTTTGGTGCCCTGAGTTGGGTTTCCGGAACCCAAAAGTTTTGGTGCCCTGAGTTGGGTTTCCGGAACCCAAAAGTTTTGGTGCCCTGAGTTGGGTTTCCGGAACCCAAAAGTTTTGGTGCCCTGAGTTGGGTTTCCGGAACCCAAAAGTTTTGGTGCCCTGAGTTGGGTTTCCAGAACCCAAAATTTCTGGTACCCAGAGTTGGGTTTCCGGAACCCAAAAGTTCTGGTGCCCTGAATAAGGTTTCTGGAACCTAAAAGTTCTTGTATTCAGGTTAGGGTTTCAAAAACCCTCAAGTTCTGGTGCTCTGAACAAGTTTTCCGGAACCTAAAAGTTCTAATGTCCAGGCTAGGATTTCCGGGGCTCTCAAGTTCTGGTGCCCTTGGCTGCTGCCCTGTCAACCCACCACTGATACAACTAGACTCCAGTAAGTGTATAGGGCCTATTAAGTGACATAAACTAGACTCGTTTACTTGATCATAAATAATAGAGTTGCGCTGGCATTAGAAAGAAACAACTGTTATCGACACCATACATGCCTGGCATCATCTATACACCTTTTGAATGCGATCAACTGTTGTCGACGGCACATAGATACACAAGCCTGACATCTTCTATACGTGGGGCGTTTCTTTAGTGTCACATCCCAGCTTCCATAAGGATCAAGTCACTTCTGTCCACAGTGTAAAATCTGTAAGGCGAAGATCAAGTTATCCCGTTTTAAAATGTGTCTCATTCTTTATTTGAAGACTTGTCATTTTGATACTTGTTTACACAGTAAATATGTTATGAACACTTGCAAGCTACAAGGAGATGCGCATGAACCTTTGTGGAAAGTCGAGGAGGGGAGGAGGGGGATATATGAGCATAAAATACAGCGATATAGGTAAAGAAGGTCTCTGGGAATACTTATGAGTAATCAAACCCTAAAGTTTCTGGGCAACCTTGTTTTTATAAAACACAAAAGTTTGTGTTTACTTTTTAAAGTTATCGAACCCCACCCGTTTCAAATGCACATTCACCGAACCCTTCTTAATAGTTCTATCGTCCGCACTGACAAAATCCAATCGTAGGTCGGGTGTGTGTCTTGACCTCCGCGGAACCCCTGAGACTGACTCGCCCAACCCCTGGGGTTCGACCGAACCCAGGTTAAGAAACACGGGTCAGGCTGATCTTCATAACTGCTTAAAATTTCATTGAAATTTACAGCACAAATCGTTCACACATCTAAGACAGATCTAAAAAAAAACCTGTCGAACTAAATGCTTCCCGCACTGAAATATTGATCATAACAAGGGACATCATCCCATGTCGAGCTTTTAAAAAAAACTGCGATCAATATTTCATTTAATAATCTCCCTTCACGTCGAACTCGCGGCCAAAATCCACCGGTGTTAATTGTCTGGGTAACAAAAGCCGAGTCGAGGAAGGGGAAGAAAAAAAATAAAATGTCGGCGTATGAATGGAACAGCGGGCTTGACACTGTAGACGGTGACGCCACTGACAGTAATTAAGGCATTACCTTTCTGTCGATATCCGCAACGTTCTTTGCTCTATAGATCACGTTATATTTGTTCCATAGAGCATCCGGCATTTTCATCTTTCACTGCTATTTTTGACAGTTTGTCGAAGATGAAATAGTTTGGATGGAAATAGGCATAAGAACAATGCCCGATTTATTGATAAGTAAAATATGTTTCCTTTCATCTATTGTTTGAAAAAAACAACGTTCAATTGAAAAACTGCATTTTGTAAGTTATAATTAAAATTATTCATTGAGGGTTTGAAGAGTTAAGTTATCCAAAAAAATAAAGCTTTTCTAAAGCTAGAGCTCATTATATTTAGGATTTTGTTAGCACAGGGAATTCATTTAATAAATTCATACTTCGTATGTTATTGTGTAAATTATAATTGTCATTAAAACGGCATGTATGGTGATAGCTAGAGATTATTTGGAAGATGTGTGGAGATTTTTGTTAACAAGACATTCGCTGTTATCCTAAACCTTACAATGAAGAGAGTAAAGTTCCCTTTTCGAACCTGACGGTCCACGTTGAAGTGAAGTAGAGTTCATCGGTTTCTGTGACATCGGCATATGAAAGGATAGTGTGGTCAGCGCAATGCCAAGCTTTTTGGTACTCATCAGAGCCGGGTGGAGCCGGGAGGTTTTTCTGACTTGAACCATAATTCGAACCGGAGACTTTCGGGTTAGCAGTCTAGCGTCTACATCTAGGCCACACCGTCCCTTACAGTATTATTCAACAATTGTGCTTTAGTCTACTAATTATTGTAATACATGTTTTGATTTGTCTATAAAATAAAGTTAAGCTCTTGTACAATTTTAAGAAATTCATTTTTTTATAATTATTCTGACAGGCACAAAGAAGAACAGTATGACAAGATCACGGGCCAAGCTTCTACCGAGGAATGCAACACCCCCGGGTCTATGTAGGAACAGACTCCAGTTCTGGTCCGTGCATTTTTCTTTACCCAAGTCGTAGATGATTGCTCCACACTTTTGTCATGGCTGAAACGGATTTCAAAGAGACGGTCCCCACGCGCGCGCACCGTGGGTACTTCCAAATATGGGCAGCAGCCGTGCCGATGGTCGCCGTCTGCGTCATGACCATCGCCGCCAACGGTGCCATCCTGACCATGTTCCTGAGCCGCAGAGGTCTCCGGCGCTGCAAGAACCTCTACTTCGCCAGTCTGGCGCTGTCCGAGTTTCTACTTGGACTTCTGATGCCGTACAAGCTGACCAAAGACCTTCACCTGACCTGGGACAGCGGGCTGACCTGCAGGATTTACCAGACGGTCAAGCAATCTTTGGGTTACGTATCGTTTCTCAGCATCTTCCTCATCACTCTAGACAAGTGGCGCGCCACGCACTACCCCGTGTCTTACAGGAGCAAGTCCGCAAAGTGTATGACCATCTCAACCATAATCGCCGTCTGGGTGGTCAGCCTCGTCATCTACACCGTCCCCCAGATTTGGTGGGAGGATTTCATCACGTCCAGGTACGTGACCCCCACCTCCCAGGGTCTGGGGGACACCAGCGTCATCACCACGCCCAAAGAAACTGTCGTTATCAGCCACCCCCGAGACCACAGCAACGCCTCGCGTCAGATCCAATACTCGTTTGATAAACGAGGATTCTCAAACCACGATACAGTGTGCCCCGAGGGGTACCACTTAGGTTTTAACTTATCTATCTTTGCAACATCCGTCTTTTACGTTATACCGCTAGTCGCTATGCTTGTATTTAATATTAGTTTATATTTAAAAATCAAATGGAGGAAAAGTGTCGAAGTTCAAAGGTCAACTAGTGTTACGGATACGTACTTTATGACCTTGAAAAAACCGGCTCTGGAGTTGCCGGAGAGTTGTCTGAAGGATCACGGGAACGAGGACGACCCAGCCAAGGAGTCGCTGCTCAAAAACATTGACAAACCAATCAACAAACATTTATCCCTGGGCGCCCGGAGCGAGCGGCGACACAGCTCCCTCCCCGCGATATCGCCCATCATCAAAGGCCGGACGTCAAGCGGCAGACGAGTCTCTATGCCGGAAAGCAACACCGGGAGCGGCGGGTGCCGGTACGTCGGCCGGAAATGGTCCGGCTGCGCCAGCGCGCTGAGCAACAACCAAAACGCCCCGCCGACGCCCTTAGCGAACCTGGCGCCCCGGCTCCACACGGAAGACATGGTTCACGACATCCTGGTCAAACAGGACAAAAAAACCGCGCGCTGCCTGTGTCTCATGCTGGCCGTGCTTGTCGCATGCTGGATGCCGCACGCCGTGCTGAACGTCATCAACGCCGGCTGCTGGTGCCTGAACGGTGCCCTGATCTCCACCTCCTGGCTGGTGCTTGCCGACCACGCCGTCAACCCTATCCTCTACGGGCTCATGTACGTCCAGTTCAAGAACGTCCTGAAGCAGTGGCTGCTCATCGAGCGCATGCACGCCTTCAAGATGCGGGACACGCTCATCCTGAAGAACCTGCAGAAGAAGGTGATGTGCGAGGAGAACAACAAGGAGAAGAGCCCCAACCCCGAGACCAAGCTCAACCAGTTCCATCTGCCGCAGATCTCCGCCAACTTCACCCACCCGCACACCGACAACACCCTCTTGTAAGGGGAGGCCGCTACGACAGGTATATTTTTTTTCACATTATACATTGCCGTTTATACTCGTTCAATAGCTGACCTCACCCTCTGTTGCATTGTCTACAATTTCATCGAATAATTTATAAAAACTTGTATTTCCTTCTTTTTCTTCTTCTTTTTCTTCTTCTTTTTCTTCTTCTTTTTCTTCTTCTTTTTCTTCTTTTTCTTCTTCTTTTTCTTCTTCTTTTTCTTCTTCTTTTTCTTCTTCTTCTTCTTCTTAATCCCGTTCGTGCCCAAGACACACGGGGCAGATGAAGTAGAGTTTACTTGTTTCTGTGACCTCGGCATATGAAGAGATAGTGTGGTCAGCACTATGCCCAGCAGTCTTTGTTTCCTTAACCTAAGTTAGGTACCCATCAGAGCTGAGTGGACTCAGGGACGTTCCAATGATTTAAACACGGATACGAACTCGACTCTCGGATTAGCAGTCTAGTTTTCAACCGCTAGGCCACGCCGTATTTCTTTGACATAAGTCAAAATAAACCTGTTTATTTTTTGCGCTATCTACTAATTCCTTGTATAATTTACAAAATCTAATATGGCCCAACTTACAAAGTCGAATTTCAGCTTCTTTTTGCTGTGTCTACAATTTCATTGTAAAATTTATAAAAACTTAAATGGCCCATAGGCCTACTTAAATCAAACTTAACCCTGGTTTTGCACTGTCTACAATATTGTTGCACAAATCTATAAAATTCCTGTAATCCACCCTCCCGCCAACATTTTACCGTACATTTTCTTTGCGAACCTTTAGCTTTATCGGAAGGAAAGTATACTAAATGTCAAACGACTCAAATTTTATGTGTAAGTTTCGTCTATGCTTTTAAAATATTTCTTAGATCATTTTCAAGCAAACTTTATCTGAACTATATCATTCTATAACTTTTAAACTCTTCGGAATTTATTGTAGTTGTCTACAATTTAATTAATTATACTAATTAGCAATAATGTGGATAAACTAAAAACCCGCGTAAATTATCGTACTCATAACAGATGAAGTAGAGTTGATCTGTTTTTTTTACGACATCGATATATCCGTCTTTATCTTAACCAACCAATGTTAGCGCCACACGGATCTGTGGTTTGTACTGTTAAACCACGGGGTACTGACCGTGTACCCTACCTCTCGACCACGCCAACTCCCATTCCATCAAGCAATCAACTTGTAACTGTAGGATTACATATATCCTAAAATACACTTTGAAAATATTGTAAAGACGTTAACGGTTGCTGCCCAAAGGCTGAACAAACCTCGTACAGGAAAAAGATTAAACCAAAAACGCATCACAAATAATAACCAGTGACGTCAAGCTTGATTAAAAGCAAATATAAATCCAATGCAAGTCCTACACGGCATTACATTGAAATATTTCCCCGCGTTTCGTGTGATGTATTGGCAGGTTTAAAGAGAACAAATTGAACATTGAATCGTTTTTTAATAATGTTACACAGGAAAAATAAAACAAAATACAATATGAAGAGAGAAAAAAATGCGTTGCCAAACGGAAATTAAAATCAAAGAATTTTTTTTATGGCAGGAAGAAGGGCACGCCAATACTACGGTAAACAACCTGATTTTAAGGGACCTTTTATATGGACCAGATTCAGTTCGCCTCAAGGTTTCTTAAAAACATTTGGCAACGCTGGGAAGGGTCGAGGGGGGGGGGGGGTGGAGGCATTTGAAACTTAGTGGGAGTAGGAAAATTTCATGAATGGTTAAAGTGTACATTTCATTTTTTTTTTATTTTTCTTTTTACTTCGTCCGGGAAAAAAAAGGTAGGGGCACTGCCACCTCACTCAGGCATTGAACCCCCGACTCCCCGGAAAGATGCCTGTCTTATTCATTTGTTTGCTCTCTGATTATTTTATTGCAAACATGACTTGGTTCTCGGGTACTTTCTGCTACAGCCTTCAACCCAGGGGCTGCTTAACAGCTTTTACTTGTCATAAACTTTTGACTTTCTCGGGGTACATTTAAACTAGCACAATCTCATCCAAAACAAACCAAACTCTCAGCCGGAGTCCCTAGGTTGCTGAAGTCACATGATGACCGGCTTGTTGGAATTGCAGAAAGTTTGACCTCCGCTTCGCTTCTTTTTTTATGGAAACTTCTAGTCACTTAGGTATAAGGAAAATATAAACGTATGCCCAAACTCACAAAATTAACCACACAAAAATTGACAACAAACTCACGTGACAGCAGCGGCAATATTTAAAAACCTATTTCATGTAGCCTGTTGTACACCAGACTCGTCCATTTGTCTCCCTTTATTTAGGTCAACTCCTTCAGGCTGAAGGGCCGGTGAAGATGATTATTTTCTTCTTGAGGAGATCTTTGTTCTACTTTTCTATGGTGTCTGGCTAATGCATATCTCATGTCTCGTATAGAGTTTAAAATCGGACTCGCGGGATACATTAAGCTATGCATCATGTGATTGGCCTATCCCCCATTGTTTGTTTAGTTAGCGCAGATTTGCAATGGATTTGTTACCATCGCTGGTAAGGTTTGGATTAGTGCAAAGTATAGATTAGGGCTTGGGACTTGTGTAAACAAAATGGTTAGTTTGGAGGATGTGATATCAATTTACAACATTCACCAAGAAATGAGGGTTTGGCTACCTGAAATGCGGCTGGCATTCTGAAATTCAAAGTCGTTTTCGAATATAATACAACTGATGGATATCTCATATTTCTACGAGGCTTATCCGTTCATAAGTTTTATAGAAATATACCCCTCCCCCTGAAATGCAAACAACAGCAAATACAGCAGGATGTGATGGTAGAGCGTACGACTGCTGACCCGAAGTTCTTGAATTCCGACCCCGAATTTGAACCCGTAGGACATCCATGAGTCCACCCAGCTCTAATGGGTACCTTACACGTTAGAGAAAGAAAAGGCTGCTAAGCATAGTGCTGATCAAACTTCCCTTTATTTGTCGAAGTCACAGAAACAAGTGAACTCTACTTCATCTGTCGAGTTAAAAGGTTTCGAAAGGTTAACTTTTACTTGCATGAACACACTCCATAATTTACATCTCAGTCTGTATTGTTAAAGGAACGAAACAACCGAGATTCTAAGCTAATATCAACAGAAACAGCTTTAAAAGAAATCTGGTCAATCTAAAAAAAACAAATCACTAAAACTCAAAGGCGACAGTCTATGTCGTGTGTAGCAACATAAACGATTTATATGCTAAATAAATAAATACCGGAATTGGCACGTCAACATGGCAAAGACCCCCCCCCCCCCCAAAAAAAAAATAATTGATTTGAACTTTTGAGAAATCTAAGAAAAAAAAAAACGTTCGATGGCGTAAAACAACTTAAGACCGAAAAAATCCTGGGCTAACCCCAGTCAACCAAATGTGTTTTTCTGTGGGAATCTTTCCTAGTGAAATCGATTGCTTTCTTAAAACCACTTCTTCGGTAAACGGTCTGCTTCAGGGTCCTCGGACTGTGGGAGACGTCGTGGTGAGACGGTGACCAGGTTGGTCGGGTGGGGGGGGTGGAACAATGGTTAATCTCTTCAAAAAACAAAACCTTCTTTCTTTGACAACATATGGCTTACATTAAGACTTAAGCAATACGTGTCTCTCTATCTCTCTCTCCTCACACACATACACACACAAACACACACACACATATACACACACATAAAAAAAATAAATAAATAAAATAAATAAATAAATAAATAAATAAATAAATAAATAAATAAATAAATAAATAAATAAATAAATAAATAAATAAATAAATAAATAAATAAATAAATAAATAAATAAATAAATAAATAAATAAATAAATAAATAAATAAATAAATAAATAAATAAATAAATAAATAAATAAATAAATAAATAAATAAATAAATAAATAAATAAATAAATAAATAAATAAATAAATAAATAAATAAATAAATAAATAAATAAATAAATAAATAAATAAATAAATAAATAAATAAATAAATAAATAAATAAATAAATAAATAAATAAATAAATAAATAAATAAATAAATAAATAAATAAATAAATAAATAAATAAATAAATAAATAAATAAATAAATAAATAAATATATATTTATATGTATATATATATATATATATATATATATATATATATATATATATATATATATATATATATATATATATATATATATATATATATATCCTGTGACTTAGGACACTTCCGCCCAAGCAAGTGGCCAGGTAATGTACCTAATGACCCCATGTCTAGCACATTTTACAAACTTTCACGCTGTTCGTAATTTCATAGTTACAAGCCGGCAATAGATTACAGTCATTTTCTTACATCTTTGTTTTCACAACATAGTAATTCAACATTGTTAGCCAGATGGATGAGAGAAAAACCTTTGCTGGATGGGAAAAAAATCTCTTTTCAAACCTTGAGAGAATGAAATTCTTTTATTTTAGTTCTGTAACCTCGAAACCCGATAGACGAGCCGAGGGCAATTATTTTCTTGTTTTACAGACAAGGCCTGTAATTCTTTTTGACGCGGCCATTTTATTTGACCCCAGTAATGTCAGCCGTGTCATTGGAGAGGCGGTGATCGCCCTTGTTGGTCCACACACGGTGATGGGCCCTGGTGGTCCACACACGGTGATGGCCCCTGGTGGTCCACACACGGTGATGGCCCCTGGTGGTCCACACGTCCACACACGGTGATGGCCCCTGGTGGTCCACACACGGTGATGGCCCCTGGTGGTCCACACACGGTGATGGCCCCTGGTGGTCCACACACGGTGATGGCCCCTGGTGGTCCACACGTCCACACACGGTGATGGCCCCTGGTGGTCCACACACGGTGATGGCCCCTGGTGGTCCACACACGGTGATGGCCCCTGGTGGTCCACACGTCCACACACGGTGATGGCCCCTGGTGGTCCACACGTCCACACACGATGATGGCCCCTGGTGGTCCACACACGGTGATGGCCCCTGGTGGTCCACACA